CTCGCCAGTGCATTTTAATGGATTTTAATTTAAAAGATGATGTTTTGTTTTTATAATTATGACATAAAATGGCGTTTTCGACACACGCACGGCGTAAGGCCCGCCGCCCCACCATCACCATGCAGCGGCACTCGTTGGCAGACTTATCAGCAAGGCGTTCGCGCGCAAAGTGGCGCCCCGCCCCGCCCCGCCCCGCCCCGCCTGGATGCGGACGGGGAAATTGAGCGTAACGACGTAATGAAACGTGCAGAAGCACATCGCCCCTCCAGGAAGTCGTGGAGGAGTCCACGGAGCTGCTCGGCTCATGGCCCGTCCTCGTTTCAGCAGAGTGGACTTTTAATTTGTTTTTGTTGTTTTTTAGCGCGGTTGGTGCCGCGGCGGCAGCAGCTGCTTCTGTCGGCCTGCAGCCCGGCGGGCGCGAAGTGTCATGGCGCACTTCTCTGTGTCTATCAAGGTGTCCATTATGCATATCGCAGCCCGGGACAGAGGCGGTCGCCAAAAGACTCCATCAGGCAGGGCCCCGCCCCGCCCCACTCCCAAGCGCCCCTCTCTCCCACTCAATCGATGTAAATTAATGACACCGAAGCACGGAGCTTACATTATTAACTGGCAGCAAAGTATGAAGCATTTTCACAGGCGGGGGGAGGGCGCAGCCAGGCGGCCGTGGCGCCACCGCCCCGGCCAACGCCGCAGAACTTGCCTCTCTCACTTACACGTTCAAATACACTGCCGATCAAAATTAGCGGTCCACTTTTTTGCTCTGGTGCCATTTCCATGTTTTTCGAGCTACAGTGCTGAGACTTTGCAGGTAGGTGCTGTCATTATTCGTTTTGAGGCTCACGGAGTGCGCAACCCGTGCGCCACCCCTTACGAGCTGTCTAACCCCTACAGTTGGGGAGGGTAAAAAAATCGGTCTGAACAGCTTCGAAATTGCCACTTTCAGTGCTCAGAAAGTCATGAGTTTCCATGAATCGACCCAACTTTTTGTCCCCTTTCGATCGGCGTATGCGAAATTGTGATCCGCCAAACCCACCCCCTCCCAGAGTCACCCCCACCCCCTTAAGGGGGTGAGTTTTGAGGAAAGTCCTACGGAGCTGAAAATCCTGTGGGGACGTCCCCTGTACCCGGCCCATGTGTTTTTTTCCGAATCAGATCATCCCCGGCCAAACTACCCCCTCGGAAGTCTAACCCCTGGTTGAATATCGGCCATTTTGGTCCCTAAGGGTTGAAGTGAAGGCGTGAAAATTGCAGGGGAGGTTCCTTTTCTGTTCTCAAACACTTCCGTAGTGGTGAACCCGACGTCAACATCTTCAACCCCTTCCTAGGGGGTGGACACCCCCATGTGCCCCCGCACCCTGCCAGTAGGGGATGAAGGTTGAGGTCCATGTGGATCTCTTAAAAAACACCCCAAAGAAGATCCCCACCAAGTTTCGTGTCGATCGGACCAACTGTTCCCCTTCCAGAGCCGAAAAACTGACAAAACGTTCAAAAACTACCCCTCTGTTCAACACCCCGTAGCGCCGAACTGAAGCGGGGTAGCGACCCTATTCAAAGTGTACAACCTCGGCCAGACCTTCATCTCAAAGGCCGCAAAGTCTTGAGCCCCTGCGGTGCTGCGCGGAGCCGTGAGACTGATGTGAAGACGGTACTGCACTTGATCAAGTGGCAGAGCCGACACACGTGACCGCACTGTAGAGCTTCAGAAAGAAAGAAAACGTCTGTCTTTTGGTAGCAAATTGGACCCCTGGCACTAACACTACACTCTGCAGTTGCAATTCCGAGTTGGGCAGCGTTTTCGCGATTGTCGGTGCCATTATTGTCTCGTGCAAATGCTGGCCTAGCCGCGTCTCGGGCAAGTAGGCCAGTGCAGTACCATCTTCACATCAGTCTCACGGCTCCGCGCAGCACCGCAGGGGCTCAAGACTTTGCGGCCTTTGAGATGAAGGTCTGGCCGAGGTTGTACACTTTGAATAGGGTCGCTACCCCGCTTCAGTTCGGCGCTACGGGGTGTTGAACAGAGGGGTAGTTTTTGAACGTTTTGTCAGTTTTTCGGCTCTGGAAGGGGAACAGTTGGTCCGATCGACACGAAACTTGGTGGGGATCTTCTTTGGGGTGTTCTTTAAGAGATCCACATGGACCTCAACCTTCATCCCCTACTGGCAGGGTGCGGGGGCACATGGGGGTGTCCGCCCCCTAGGAAGGGGTTGAAGATGTTGACGTCGGGTTCACTACTACGGAAGTGTTTGAGAACAGAAAAGGAACCTCCCCTGCAATTTTCACGCCTTCACTTCAACCCTTAGGGACCAAAATGGCCGATATTCAACCAGGGGTTAGACTTCCGAGGGGGTAGTTTGGCCGGGGATGATCTGATTCGGAAAAAAACACATGGGCCGGGTACAGGGGACGTCCCCACAGGATTTTCAGCTCCGTAGGACTTTCCTCAAAACTCACCCCCTTAAGGGGGTGGGGGTGACTCTGGGAGGGGGTGGGTTTGGCGGATCACAATTTCGCATACGCCGATCGAAAGGGGACAAAAAGTTGGGTCGATTCATGGAAACTCATGACTTTCTGAGCACTGAAAGTGGCAATTTCGAAGCTGTTCAGACCGATTTTTTTACCCTCCCCAACTGTAGGGGTTAGACAGCTCGTAAGGGGTGGCGCACGGGTTGCGCACTCCGTGAGCCTCAAAACGAATAATGACAGCACCTACCTGCAAAGTCTCAGCGCTGTAGCTCGAAAAACATGGAAATGGCACCAGAGCAAAAAAGTGGACCGCTAATTTTGATCGGCAGTGTATTCTCTCACAGCCTCAAAGATTCATGATCGACAAACAATCGTCTCGGCGGCAGCCGCGCTACGCCACGCGATCAAGGGGGGCGGCTCGGGGGGCGGGGTAGGCAAGTCGAGAAGAAGTGAAGGAGGGTGTCGCCCCACGTGTCAGCGACACGACACACACCGCGGAGTACTGTGCGGCGAGGAGACGCGCATACAGCGAGAGGGGGCAGGGGCGGGGGGCTTCCTCTCTGATAGACACTGACAACGGCAAGGGCCTCATCAGTTTGAAGCAGGCCAACAAGACCCCCTCCCACAACCTCCCCCTACGGACCGCGACGCCATCCCTCATCAGCCCCCCCCCCTCTCACAGAAAAAGAGCAAAAAACAAACAAACCAAACCAATAGAATCTCCTCACCCGCGCCTATTACTACCCCCCAAAAATGCCATCAACGCCACCTACTTTTTTTGTTACAAAATGAAAACGCAGAAGTGTAAGCAGCCCCTTCCCCCACCCCCAACCCAATGAAAAAAAAAGTTTTGCTCTAGTGTCGAGTAGAAACGGTCGTGCCGGCAGATGAAGGGAGAGGTGGTGGCAGAGGGGGAGAAAGCAGAAGGAGGGAGGGAGGGAGGGAGGGAGAACGCCACCACACACCACACCAGACCAGCGGGGCCGCCATGCACAACCACAGCGAGGCCTACACGTTCAGCAGGACCGGCTA